CAGCGGATGATCTGGACACTGTTTGCTACTTTTTAGTTTTCCAAGAGATTAAGGAGTCCCCAAGGAATACACAAAAACCTGTGACAGATTTTCTTAAATCAGGACATCCTCCCTAGTTAGCATCTGCAAATGCTCGAATCTGTAAAGAAGAGGAGGCAAAAAACTTCAGCCCTTGACCTAGAGCAGCGCTGAGATATTTCAATAGATGATGTATTACATCAAGATGAGGCTGCCGTGGCTGAGAAACGAATTAACTGAGTTTGTGTACTGCAAAGGTAATATCTGGTCGAGATATAGTCAAGTAAAGTAGGCGTCCAACGAGTCTTCGATACAAGAGTGCATCATCAACTAATTCACCATTGAAAGAACTAAGGCGAGTTTTAGGGTCCATTGGTAAGGTAGCCGATTTGCAACCTAGGAAGCCAGTATCTTCAAGAAACTACATCGTGTAGTTTCTTTGTGAGAGGAAGATCCCATTGTGGGATCTAGCTATTTCAAGACCAAGAAAATATTTTTAACACCCCAAGGTCTTTCAACTTGAACTGACCATGTAAGAAGGTTTTCAAGGAGTCAATTACATTGTGGTTCGGGCCTGTAATGATGATGTCGTCAACGTATACTAGCAAGGCAACAAACGTGTTCCCAGATCCTTTAGTAAACAAAGAGTAGTCTGACTTTGATTACTGAAAACCATGAAGGATAAGTACTAGGGAAAATTGTGAAAACCATTGTCGAGATGCTTGTTTAAGTCCATAGATGGACTTATGAAGTTTACAAACTAGTTGTTCTCCTTTTGCAACTTTTGTATCTACTTTAGAATAACCCAAAGGCAATTCCATATATATCTTTTCAAAAAGGTCCCCATTAAGAAATGCGTTGTTAACATCTAACTGAGTGAGATTCCATTTATGAATAGTGGTAAGAGCAAGTAGCATTTTAACTGTCACGAGCTTTGCAACAGGAGAGAATGTTTCAATAAAATCCAAGCCCTCTTGTTGGGTGTAGCCCTTGGCTACCAATCGGGCCTTATACCTATCTATGCTTCCATCAGACTTATATTTTATTTTGTATACCCATTTGTAGCCAATAGAGTATTTACTCTTAGGTAGAGTAGTGACTGTCCAAGTATTATTCTGTTCCATTACAGTCAATTCAGATGCCATTGCCTCTTTCCAATGCTGAAATTGTACAGTTTGGTGGTAAAATTGAGGTTCAAAGTTTGAGGAAACTGTTAAAAGATAATTTTTGTGCATAGAAGAGAATGCATTGTAGGAAATGGACCTGGATAAGGGATACATTGAGTTACTGTTTGGAGGAGGTGTATTTGTCAGAAGATTGCAATGAAATTCTTGCAGATTTGAGGGGGTTTTAACGATTCTATTTGACCTTCTAGGTAGGAGGGACGAGGGGTGATTAACTTGTGTTGCTTGTTCCTTAATGGAATCTCAGTTTGAGGATGGAGATGTAGAATTGGTGATAGGAAGATCAGTGGATACATGATCACTATTATTTTCATCTAGATGCATGGTAGTTGTGTTTTGAGGATGATGTTAGGGAGTTGGTTCATGGGCAATACGAGGCAAAACGACGTCAGGGAATGGGTCAATGAGATTAGTGGTATGAGTTATGGAGTGGAAGGGAAAATGATTTTCATGGAACACAACATCTCTGGAAACAACGAATGATTTTAGGGAAATGTCATACAACTTATAGCCCTTCATGCCTGGAGGATATCCCACAAAAACACGTGCTGTGGCTCGGGGGGAAAATTTATTTCTGTGAGATGGTAGTGTTGAGGCAAAACAAAGACTCTCAAACACTTTGAGAAAGTTGTAATCTACTGGATTACCCTATAATAGAGTAAAAGGGGTGTTATTTTTCAGGATTGGTGATGGAGTTCTGTTGATAAAAAACGTAGCTGTGAGTACACAATCTCCCCAGAATTGAATTGGCACTCGTGACTGAAAGAACAAAGCTTGAGCCACATTAAGAAGATGTTGATGTTTCCTTTCCACTACTGAATTTTGTTCAGGTCTTTCCACACATGCAAACTGGTGAATGACCCTTTTTTCATTGAAGTATTCTGTGAATTTTAATTCTTGGGCATTGTCGGATCTGAATTTCTTGATTGGTTTGTGGAATTAGGTTTGGATTAGAGTGAAGAACTTAGGAATGATGAAACTAACATCAGATTTCTGCCTCATAAGGTATATCTAGGTAAACCTTGTGCAATCATCAACCAAGGTAAGAAAATATCTATGACCACCATGTGTAGAAGTGTGGTATGGCCCCCCAAACATCACAATGAATCAAATCAAAAGCAGCATCAAACAAATGATTATTTGAAATAAAGGATAATCTTCTTTGTTTGGCTAAAATAGAGCAAGGAAAAATACCCTCAACATTTTGTCTATTACAATCAAACTGTAATTGATTTTTCAACAATTTCAACTTTTGAAATGACAAATGGCCAAGTCTATTGTGTCAAATTATATCAATAACATTATTGACTGTTGGAAGAAAAGAGTGTTTAACAATTTTGGAAGAATGAATTGGATCAGAATTAGCTTCAATCACATAATGGCCTGCAGTCTTTTTACCCCTGCCAATCATCTTCAATGTGTGCAAGTCCTGAATGATACATGAATTAATGAGAAACTTGACACATAAAGACGATTTCTTGGTTAAGGAGCTTTCAGATAGAAGATTGAATTTGAATTGGGGAACAAATAACACATCATTCAATACCAAGTCAGATGATAGATACACAGTTCCAATGGAATGCACAGGGATTTTAGTGTGGTTTAGCAATGTGACATACACGTTATCAATATGATTCAATGTGTGAAAATACGGAATGATTGGAATAAATGTGGCTTGTGGCACCTGAATCGACTATCCAATACTTTGATGAATTGAGTGTTGGACTCACTGAGATTGAAAAATAGGTACCTGATTCATTGGCATAATTATTATTGATCTCTGTGTCCATTTTTGTAGCCTTGAGGTGACTGCTCAGCATATTCATCAAATGCTGATATTGATCAGCATTGAGAGTTTGTATAAATCCTCCAACATTTCCTTGTGATTTATCCATGCCAATTTCAGAATCAGAAACCTGGTTAGCCAGAACATGGCCACCTGATCCAGTTTGGTTGTTCATTCCAGGTCTTTGTCTTGGTTTATATCCTAGTGGATAACTATGTAATTTGTAACATTTATCAATTGTATGTCCTGTGAATCCACAAGAGGTGTACATAGGTTTTTCCTTCTTCTAGAACCTGCTGGAATGATGTCCAACGCCAGCCTTTCTAGTATCATTTTGGACTTGAAAAGCCATGGAATCAGATCCAGGTGTTATATTAACTTTTCTCTAGTGTTCTTCTTGAGAAACAAGGGCAAAAACCTTGTTGATAGGAGGAATGGGATCCATGAGTAGTAGTTGACCTCGAACCTGAGCAAATGACTCATGGAGCCCCATCGGAAATGACATAACATATTCTATCTGATAATGCTCAGCTAGCTTTTTAGTGCCTCCACAAACACATTTTCCACATGTACACATAGGTCTATAGTTACTTAATTCTTCCCAGATTGTTTTCAGCTTAGTGAAATATGAACTGACATATGACTGACCTTGTGTATGATTCATTTGTTCTCGCCTTAGCTGGAATATGCGTGGTCCATTCCGTAGTTGAAAACGCTCCTTTAGATCCATCCAAATCTCATATGCAGATTCAGAGAATATAACACTTGCAGAAATTTCTTTAGACACAGAATTTAGAATCCATGATATAACAATGTTATTATTCTGGATCCATGAGTTGAGTATTCTCGATCATTTTCAGGTCGTAAAATAGATCCATTGATGAATCCTAACTTGTTCTTCACTAAAAGTGCAATCATCATCGATCGACTCCAGGATGCGTAATTATCCCCAACCAATTGCTGCGAAATGAGCACAAGTCCTGGGTTATCTGAGTGATGTAGATAATATGGACTGGTTCCATCATCAACTGCTGAACTTGATGATGAAGAGATATTTGACGTTAAATTTGGAATATCTGAAGCCATTACATAGAAGTTTCAAGCATAATTGAATTTCTCAGAGAAGGCGTGAATGCTCTGATACCATATTGATGAATAAAGTGTGAAAAAAGGGGAATTTTTTTATTCAAGAAGAAAGTATCGTACAACACATATATAAATAGAACTTTGAGCTAACTAACAAAATATTACAGTTCATTAACAGTTGTTAGTTAACTGTAACTAACTCTAACAAACTTTAACTACCAACTTAATATTCCAATAAGAAGGAAGAGAAAAATTTATTATAAATTTAATGGGGCTAAGTGTGTAAGAAATCATTTCAGCCTCAAAAATGGTGAGAAATCATAGAGCAATTTGTGAAGCTGTGATCAAACATGAGATAGCTCATCCCTCCGCAATTTATAGAAAGGAAAATTCGTATATGTAAAAAGAATTTGAAGGTAACGAGAATCATCAAAATTGGTCGAAAAAGATTCTCAAGAGTAATAACCATTGTTATGAAGAGATAGATCTAACCGGACGGTTTGCGGCGATTGATGGCGTCTCATTTATTATAAAATAGTGCTATATTGTTACGGGATTTGTATAGGTACTCGTGTGATAAAGTTTCAGCGACGGTTGAAAAAGGAAAAAAATTATCAATTAGGAACTGCCATTTCAATCGCTGTAAATTGTATATTCCTTTGCACCCTCTTTTGAACATCTGTCTATATATGTAAATTATTACATAATTGCTTATGTACCAATAGAATTATTTTTATAAGATAAGAGCCATCTCTGCTCATTAAAAATTTTATTGTCTATACGCTCGTTTGGTCCTCATTTTTTGAAGTGAAAATGAGTGTAATAGTAATTTTTTTAAAAAATGAATGGTAGAAAGAAAATGGAAAAATTTTCATAATATTATTTTATGAAAAATTGTTTGATTGAAAATAGGCGAGGAAAAAATGAAATAGAATTTTAAAAGAAGCGCGACCCACCTAAACCCCACTCCAGTCATGGCCTGCAACCCCTTCTTCCTCCCTCATCAACCTGGCGCCGCCACCCCTCTTCACCGCCGCCGCCACCTCCACCACCAGCCGCGTATACCCTTCCTCCAAAAACTCTACACAAACAAACTGAATAACTCATTTCCTTTCACACCGCTTCAAGAACCTTCTTATAAAAAGAATAACGACAAAAACAACAATCGACTCGGTGGAGGTGGAGGAGGAGGTGGTGGGCGTGGCGACGGTTGGAATAACAATTTCTTCAATTTCAACCAATACCCATTTTTTCTTTTTCCTTTTTACTCAAAATTTGAAAAACAACACGACCCATTTGCCTCAGCAGTTCAAGGACACATCTATTTGTTCTTAGTTTCCGCTTCTGCCTCTATAAGCTACTTCGTTTTATCGTCCTCCGAGGCGCAAGCTAAAACTACTGACAATGAGGGGATTGTGTGTGAAATCAAGGGTGGGAAGAAAGTTGAGCTCGTTCAGGATTATGAGAAGGATGAATTTATTGTTCCAAAAACAATTTGGTCGTGGGATTGGGGTTCGAGAGGGAAAAATTCGAACATCTCGAGTTTTGAGGATGTTTGGATGAAATGTAGGGAATTTGTTTTCAGTTTGATGCTTCCTGAGGGATTTCCCGCGAGTGTTACAAGTGATTATTTGGATTATTCTCTTTGGAGAGGGGTTCAGGGCATTGCATCACAGATTAGCGGTGTGCTTGCCACTCAGGTAATCAAAGTTTTACCTGCATTCGTTGTGTTATCCAAATTTGTGCGTTTGCTAAGGATTTAATGTTTAGTTGTTGTTGTGTTCAATGCATATTAAGAATTGTTGATGATTTAAGTGATGCAAGTTTTGTCAAACTATGTTCATAATCTTGGTGGATAACTAACACCATGCAAAGCAGAAACAGTGTTAATAATATGACTTAGATTTCTAGATGAATTCAATCAATTTTAGGTTACTTATGGTTGTTTAGATTTTTACAGGACTGTGTAACATTTATATGTTATTATTGCAACGTGAAGGCCAAAAATTGAACAAAATAGATGAACCTTCACAAAATGATAATTATCAAGCAAGTGAAGCTATTGATAGCTTATAAGCCTTTTTTGAGTTCTTATACATGCCTGTTACGACGAATAGAGCTTTTGAAGTCATTCTGGTGTAATTAGATAAATACAGAGCTTGATAAATTTTGCAGCTGGTAATTGCTGTTTATAATTTTAAATGTTGTCCAGTCCTTGCTTTATGCGGTTGGATTGGGGAAGGGAGCAATTCCGACTGCGGCAGCGGTGAATTGGGTTTTGAAGGATGGCATTGGTTATCTCAGTAAGATTTTGTTGTCAAAGTATGGGAGGCACTTTGATGTGAATCCAAAGGGTTGGAGGTTATTTGCAGATCTTCTAGAAAATGCTGCCTATGGAATGGAGATTTTGACCCCTGCTTTTCCACATCTCTTCGTTCCAATAGGTGCTGTTGCAGGAGCTGGAAGATCGGCAGCATCATTAATCCAGGTAACCTTAACAATCCTGATTAGGTTATAATTTGGTTTTACCTTGTTGTCAAGTCCAATAGCTCTTTTCTTCATAATCATATGATGCTCTATTGCACGCATATATATATATATATATATATTTCATAATTATGACCTATTACTCATAAATAGGCTATCTATTATACTCAGATCTATTTGCCGATTCAACTTAATATTTATGTTTTTTCTTTAGTAAGTTTCATTTGAATGTTACTCAACTTCATTATTGAACTCCACTTGACAGGCAGCTACCAGGAGTTGTTTCTATGCCGGGTTTGCTGCTCAGAGGAATTTCGCAGAGGTAGTTTTTTTCTGTTTATCTCTGCCCCTCTATTTTGAATCCATAACTTGTTCTGATACAGAAAACTTCCTAATTGTTAATAAGGTGCTTCCCAGTGCTTGTTTCACACGGTCTGTGCAAATAGTTGTGGACAGTATCTACATACCCTTGGATTCTGACGTAGTCAATTATTACAGGTGATTGCCAAAGGTGAAGCTCAAGGAATGGTGAGCAAGTCCATAGGAATTATGCTTGGCATAGGGTTAGCTAGCTGCATACAATCTTCTGTGCCTCTTGCTCTTGCTTCTTTTGGTGTGGTTACTTGGATCCACATGTTTTGCAATCTCAAGTCATATCAATCCATTCAACTAAGGACTTTAAATCCATATCGTGCAAGTATTTCCTCATCATCTCTTGTCGTTTTATTTGGGTACTACTTTGTGAAATCGTGTATAGTATTAGAATAAGCATATGGGAGGGAATCATTGGATAATATTAATGAGATCTTTATGGTTTATTGGAGCATTGTTATCAGATCGAAATATAAATTTATACACAAAATAATATTATAAAATTTGAACTCAGGATATCGAACTTAAATCACATGGATATGTTACTTGGGGATTCAATGAGTGCAGAACCTCTTGGAAGCATATTTGCTGGGAAAATTCTCCATACTCAACTTTGGATGAACTCAAAGCACGATAGGTTCAAAAAGAATCTATAAAAAATTGGCACTTCACAATTGTGAGTTTCATTGGTTAATACGGGAATCATTTAGTGTGATGAAAATGTAACTTATGCCTCTGCCCAACAAAATATTATTGAAGGCAGACATTTACTGCTAAACACAAAAAACTTCTCGAGGTTTGTCATTGTGTTTTTACCCCTACGGTATCTTTATATGGTTTACATAAACCATTCATGCTCTTTAGGTATTAGAGTCGCACACTTTGTGTTTGCTTATGTAATTAGCAAAATTAAATTTAACGTGCTTTCATATTCAATAGGTTTGGTCTTCAGCGAATATCTGCTCAGTGGTCTAGTACCTTCAGTTAGAGAGGTTAATGCTGAGGAACCACTATTTCCAGCCATCCTGGATTTGAATGTGAAGCCTGCATCTGAAGTAGGTTGATTGTTCTTTTTTTTTTTTCTTTATTATTTGCTGAATGTTGGCATGCTTAATTATTGAATTCTGAGCATTGAAGGTTTCCACAATTTGGGATGCATACAATTGAAATTGATTACCTCAGTATCAACTCTCTGATTGTGGCTTTTGCCCTCCAGGGACAAGCAGAGGTGCTATCTGCTGATGCCAAGGACGCTGCTGTTCATATTGAGCATCGTTTACGACTAGGTTCCAAGCTCTCTGATGTTCTTAAAAGCAGAGAAGACACTATTGCATTGCTCAATCTGTACAAAAATGAAGGTTATATTCTGACAGAGATTGAAGGAAGATATCACGTAAGCTAATCCATCCTTCCCCCGTCTCATTTTATTTTCCAATTCGCTCC